TATAAACAATTATAAAAATTGACATTTATATAGATAATTTTAATTAGTTAATTAATTAATTTAAATTCAATTTTTATATAAATTAATTACAAAAAATTATATTTATTACATTTTTAACTTATGTAATAAAAACCTATTAATATATTATGGGTTGTAGGTTAGAAAAATATTAATTAAATTTTGATAAAAAAATATAAACAATTATAAAAATTGACATTTATATAGATAATTTTAATTAGTTAATTAATTAATTTAAATTCAATTTTTATATAAATTAATTACAAAATATTATATTTATTACATTTTTAACTTATGTAATAAAAACCTATTAATATATTATGGGTTGTAGTTTAGAAAAATATTAATTAAATTTTGACATCTCCTAGGCTCAAACTTCCATCCTTGGTATGGTAGACAAAACAGCAAACAAGTAGAACCATTGTAAACTTATTGTTAAATGTTACACAACATTATATTTATTGATATTTAATTGAATCAATGGTTTAAACAATTTAACCAGTTAAATCGATCAAATTAGAACCTGAAGGTCAAAATGATTTGACCTCTAGGTCGGTTTTCAAAACACTGGGAGGGATGAACAAAATAAAGGAAGGAAAAACCTAATTCCCTAGGAGGGTTTTCTCTCCTCTTTTTTGGGTTTTCCTCTTCTCTTCTATTCCAATTCCAAATTGGGAAGCCCTCAGCCTACTAGCCTTTCTACCATACTTCTTCTAATCAAGGTAAAGATTTGATGTTTCCTTGACTTGTCTCTCTCTTGAGAATGAATTTCAAATCTAGAATTTCCAATTACAAACTGATATTTACTGAAAAATATCAAAGACCACTGTTGTATGTTCTTCCCTTCTTGTCCATCATTTAACTACTTAGTGGGTGTTCCTTCTACAACTTTTCTGGTAAGAAAAACAACCACAGTTCATCTTTTCATCCTTGTTTGAGTTAGGTTAACTTAATTCTTTTGCTATCTTTGATTTTAGGGACAGTTTTCCATAACTTTTCCCTCTGATTCAATTGATTGCAAAATCTGGTGTTCCTTGTTGTGAAATTCTGTAAGTAGTAGCTCTTTTGGGTTTGATTTCTAATTTATTTTGTTATTGTTCTTATTGAATTGAAAATCTATTGAGGGGATATAAAGTAAAAGATTTAGCTCTGACCTGTTTATGTTGTTACACTTGGATAATGCAAATAAAAATAAAGAATAGTGTTAAATTTTGATCTGAATTGATAACTTGCCCCTCTGCTAGTATTCTAGCCATAAATTCCTTTGTAGATTTCAAATTAAGGTGATTTTTTATCCTATTGAAAGCTAAGACATATGGCTATAGTTGGTTTGTTAATCATTCATCCCAGTTTGATCAAGTTCTAGATGCAAATTTTGTTGGAAGTTCCAGTTCAAAATTTGACTATAACATGCTCTCAAGTTTTTGCTGATCTGGTGTCCAAATTTTGTAGTCCTTGGCTCTATTTTTGTCTTTACTCTCTGGTTTTTAGGTATTTGATATCCAAATTCTTAGTTCTTGAGGAAATCTTGATTCTCTGTAAAGTGAAGTGAATTTTATGGTCTTGCCAATGGTTCTAAACTAAGGTTTTAAGAACATATTTTTTTGAAATCGTTTGATGTGGTAGCAGGAGTTGACCTGATTTATGTTGATATGAGTATGGCATGCCTTGATATTAAGTTTTATGATTGTTATTTATTAAAAATTGAGCATGCCTTTTTCATGAAATATACTTGTTGAAACAATTAGGATTATGTTTCTACTTTCTTGTTTAAATGCTTAAAACAATTTGAATTATGTTCCCTATTTAAATGCCTACATTGTTTTGTCTCCAATTTTGTCGTTATTCCTGTTATCCTACCAATGGGCATGTAAACTCTAATTATTCCTATTATCCTGCCAGTGAGAGTGTAAACAATGGCAATTCCTATTATCCTACCAGTGGAAGTGTAAACACTAGTTATTCTTGTTATCCTGCTAGTGGAAGCATAAATACTGGTTATTCTTGTTATCCTACCAGTGGAAGCATAAACAATAGTAATTCTTGTTATCATACCAGTGGGAGTGTAAACACTAGCCATGGCTAAATGAGGAGACCACTAAGAGATTTTTTTTATTATGCATTACGGGATTGAAACTAGAAGCATTGTTTTGATGTTCTATATCCATCATGCTTTCTTTTAAATTAAAGTGTGACTACTCATAATTTACTTACTGAGATTTATTTCACATTTTTTTTTCCTATCCACTATTTCAGGTAACAAGACTTAAGTCTTTGGGATCAGGGTGAGTGGTGTGCTAGTTGACTAATTCACTTATTAATGGATTGAGATTAAATTTTAGATTATGTAAGTTATTTCTTTTTGTGGATTTTAGTGGACTATTAGAAGATATGGATTATTGCATAATGTATTAAACTGGTTGGAGCCTTGTACACTTGTGGGAGCCACTCATAGGTGTACGACGTCTGTTTTACTCTTGGTTTTGGGGTGTGACAACACCCAAGCTAAGATATTAACCTTGAAAAATCTAGTATCTTTTACATATGAATGAGAGAATTGCATACTCAGGTCATTGTTCTTAGTTTCATTCTCCCTAAGATTATGTAGGCCAGAAGCCGGTATCCAATAATCATTGCTATAATAGCACTGATTTCTATTCCAGGCCGATCAAGTTTAAGTCCCCTGAATGGAGATTTACAGGAACTTGATTTGGGATCTGAACCAGAGCAACCATACTGAATTCTCAGAAGCAGTCTGTATGTGTGATAGGTGAAGGAGACGTATCGTGCCCATGACATGAATGGAGGAACTTCCTGTAACAGATTATCAGATTAGTCTTTTAGAAAGAACTCAGGATCCAAAATATTCATCTGAATCAAAAAGAATTATATACCTCAAAGAATCCGCCAGCTAACATGAAGGTCGTAACAATAACAGAAGCTAATATTGTTGCCTTCTTTAAATCCTTGCATGCTGCACCTATGGCAAGTCCAAGTCCCTTCATAAAAAAAAAAAAAAAAAAAAAGGGGGGATTAAAGGTGGTGGCACCTTTCCCCCTATTGAAAGGGACAAAATGAGATCCTGAGGAAGTTCCAGGTTCAAATCCAATTAAAAGGGACAAGATGATATATGGTACCTGGGCAGCTACAATGCTAAGAAAAAATTGTGAGCATGGTCAGAGAAAATGCAGGGAAACTGTGCTTCAAGCCACCCATAAGATAGACAATAGCAACAAACACTATAGGCAAAGTTAAATCTAAGGGGAGATCAATGATGTTTCTGGCGACAAAATATGCACTGAGTTTATACATCCCAACAGATCTTTCCTTGACTAGCATTGCTCTCTCTTGAGGGAATATGAAGATGGAAGTGAATAGAGGAAAGAAACCCTAAAATACTGAAATGAAGAGTAACAGTCCACTCAGCATTCATTTTGAAAAACAGGACAACAGTAAGCACGAAGTAGTTCTGAAACTTGAACAGGATGAGAACTTATGCTAAATCAATGGACTAAAGCTTGCCTGATCTTTAAGATTCTGAGGGGATGATGCATCAGAGTGCCACTAGAGCAGACTAGTGATTATAGCAGTGGTTAAAACTTGGATTACACGCGTATAGCTGAAATAGTGATGGTGTCTCTCCTTTAGTCCACGTCTGGAAAGAATTGAGAACTGTTCCCACCATGTCGCTCCCTATTCCACTGAATCGAAGCCACCTTGCAATTCAAGCTCACCCTCTGTAATAACAAGTTTCTGTGCCTTTGTTTTTTCTGGACGAGCTATCTTTGCTGCATAGGCCTCCATAAGGTACTACATATAGGGAAAAATCTGCTGTAAGATTTTTATTTCATAATGACCTCAGGAAGACTACAAGTTAAAACTGGATGCATTTGATATTGACCTCATCGACTAAAACCGCAGAAGGCCCTTTATCCTCTCCAGGACTGGTTATGTCCTCCAATTCCAAAGGAACTGATTTGTCATTTAAGTTTCCGTTTGCAAGATCAATAAGAAACTCTGCTGGATTCATGGCATGAGTGGAGAACACCCAATTGAAGAGAACATACATCATTGCTTCAGAGGCTTTTCCAAAGTACAGGGAGCTGCTTTTACCTAAGAGGATGAGCTTGTCAAACATACTGAAGAGTCTGCTAGATGGCTGATGTATTGTTGTCACCACTGTCTTTCCAGACTACAAAACATAGAATACATCAATAAGAACTTTCTATGTTCCTGAATTCTCAAACATTGCACTAAACTGAGTGTTTTAGTACCTTTGCAATGTCCTGTAGCATCTGAACAATCCAGAGAGCTGTTGTTGAATCCAGACCTGAGGTTGGCTCGTCTAAGAACAGAAGTGATGGGTTAAGCACGATTTCAGTGCCAATATAGACCCTTATCCTTTCACCACCAGAAATTCCTCTAACAAATGCACCACCAATCATTGTATTTTTGCAGCTTAAAAAATAAATCAATTTGTGTTTCTACAAGATAGTAGATTACTGTAACCAACTAAATGTCCACTTTTTGTTCCCATGCCCTCAAGGCAGGCAATTGAAGCAAGTTGCAGCATATGTCAATATCAAGTAGAATTGAACTGTTTACTTTTAGTTTTACATTTTACATAGTTAAGATTGGCCAATTGGTTGAACCTTATTGTGCATGATTAATGAAGAAATCACCTTTCAAGGCCTAGTTCATTAAGGACATCCATGGCTCTTCCTTTCTTCTGCTGCAAGGTTAAGGTACTGGGGAGATGGAGTAGAGCAGCATATGTTAGAGTTTCTTTGACAGTAAGGTGAGGAAAGGCAACATCATCTTGCATCACAAAACCAATCCTGTTTCAATAAGAAAAAAAAAAAAAAATCAAGAACCATTCAACTTAAAGGCTTAAACTGTTGTTATTTGTTAACATACATACCTGCGCTTTAGTGACCTGGTATATGGCTGGTCGTTGTAAGTGATGGTTCCACTGTTGAATTTGACTCTTCCACTAAGCAGATTAAGAAGAGTTGTTTTGCCTCCTCCTGATGGCCCCATTAGAGCAAGAACCTCTCCAGTATGTACTTTTCTGAACCTGAACTCTTCATATTCTTTGTAGGAACCTTGTATTTGACATCTTCAAACTACAAGAAAGTGAAAAATGATAGCATTAACATGAAAGAATTAATATTGGATTATGAGGATATTTGTGTTACCTTTAGACATATTGGTAATGAGGGTTCAATCTGTGTTTTACTCCAACTGCTGGAATCTGAATTTTCTTGACTTGTTGCATTATCTGAGGATTTGTCTAAAGGAAAAGTGGCTCCTAGGATAGACTCATTGCTAGAAGTCCTGCTAGGGAAGGAACCTGTCTCATCATCAAAGGTCCCAGAAGCAACTCTAACAAGTTCATTTATATTAATCAAGCATTTGGAGCTTAACGACTTTGTTCTGCGTATTGCTTCTCCTGATTCAAGTCTTGTTTTTGTTTCAAAGCTTTTTATCCTTTGTATATTGATTTCAGTCATGCTATTGTTATCTTCCAGTGTTTGTACCATTTTTCTTGAGGTTATGCTACCTGGGGACTCCATGAGCTGCCACAAAAGAAACAGATAATACCAGCAACCAACTAAGATCAATCATATACTAAAATTTTAACACTATACTTCATTTATTTTATGCTCAACTAAAAGAAAAATGATAGATAATCTTCACATACCAGATTAAAACAACCATAGAAAGATAAGAAGTGCGGTAGGAGCTTGAGTCTTGAAGGTTATATATAGGCCTTAGGTGCTGAGCTCACCATGTGACTTGTACTAGCATGAGCTACAAGTATACTTTGGAATCTTACCCTTTTGAACATGGGAAATTTGGCGGGGAGGGGTAATCTTTTCCAAGTGTTAGGTGGATTTGAACACCAAAACTAGATGCTAAACATTACAATTTGCAGCGTGATCTAATTGAAGAGAAAAAAAAAGTGTCGGACAAATCAGATTATGATATATCGACTAGAATTAACAGAATGTGACAGTTATACAGATTCTTGATTTTATCTGATAATGAGTCCATATCCAACACGTGCATTGCACTCGACATGGAAAGAATACTTATTCCATTAAAATCAATAAAAAATCGTACATAACAACATTTAAAGCATCTGTATTAAACACGTATTAATTATACTTGACCTTCTAACACTTGATTTTGAGTTCATGCGAGTTCATGTAACTGTGGCTAGACAGCTTCATGTATGTAGAGAGAGGCTGTCAGCCTCAAGAAAGAAGTTGACAAATGACAGATAAACAAGTCTGGACATTGCAGTCCAGCTGGTAGGTCCTGGTAGGGTGGCATCTCCTATTAAATCGTCCAGAGTCAAGACTGGTCCCCCATGATACATTCAAGATCAAAATGGTTCAGGGTCTCTTGATAAACGTGGCTAGTTAGTGTTCAATTACATATGATAGTGTGATTCCCCTTCAGTTTCTACTTCAAATTCACATGGATTTAATTAGAGGGTAATCATCATCATCATATAATCAATATATGAACAGATATCAAAGGCCCTATAATCCTATTGTACCTGGCCGGTGCATGTGCACATGCATGTAGATGTTGCATTTCTAGCTAAAGTATTGGGCGGTGCCTTGAATGCTAGGGCAGACTGCAGAAGAGGACCCAAGCACCAGAAAACCTTTAACCATTCGAAGTACTTTAAATTTTATCATCATTAGGGTACTATTTGGTACAACGGTTGAAATGACTACTAATAGTCAATAATTTATGGTTATTAGTTGAAAGTAGATAGCTAAAGTTGTATGCAATGATGTCAGTGTTGAAATTTCAACATTTAATTGATAATAACATCAAATCTCATAAATCTTTTGATAAATATATTTAATATTTTTAATAATAATTAAAATTCCAAGTACAACGTTGTTATATTCTAATTCTTCATCTCATTCCCTCAAATTATACCTGTTGAATAAAAAGAACATTTAATTAATAGTAGATGCTCAATAGAGTGACTCTACTATATTGTTAGCTCTATTAATGTTTTTTATAATGATTAGTTATGCAATTCTTAATTATAGTTGAGTTTTCTTCCCTTTAAATAACTCATCTATAAGGAATATAAATCTTTCTGTAATTAATGCTATAGGATAGCTTTTCCTAGCTGTATGTATGGTTGGTTGCTATTTGATTTATAATATAATCTTTATATTTTTTTGTAAAAAAATTATAAACAAAAAAACGGAAAAAAGAAAAAGGAAAAAAGAAAGAAAAAACTAGAGACTACAAAAGTAATTATTCAGGCAACAATTAATGGTTAGTCTCCTGCCTCAAGAATTAAATTCATTGGTAAATAAATATTATTTTGTAGATTAATATTTAAAAAAATTAATTTTTTTAAATACATTAAATTAATATTGGGGATACGTCTCTAAGATCGCACATAAAAAAAAATTAACTTTGAAATGCATAAAAACTGACTCAAAAATATCTTGATTGTAAATACCAAAATATATATAGAGAAAAGTGTTTGTCAATTAGATTATTAAAAAATTGAAGAGAAAATATTTTAAAACTAAATCGTTTTAATAAACTCCAATTGAAAAAAATTAAGATAATTTATTTTTAAATAAAAAATGAATTTGTTAACAAAACCTCCAAATTCACCCATTAAATAGGAAGATAAGGTCAAATTTGCCCTAAAAAAGTAAAAATAAATTATCTTTTTAAATTATCAATTAAGATAAATCATCCATTATTTAACATATAATGTCATCATATGTCAAAAATTCATTTGTTACCTAAGTATTTTTAATAAAAAATTGATATATGATGATTCTCACATTAAATAATTAATGATTTGTCTTCATTAATAATTTAAAGAGATAATTTATTTTTATATTCTTTTATGAGATAAATCTCTTCCTACTCTTCTATTTAAAAGACGGGTTTAAAAGTTTTAGTACTTTAATAACACAATATAATTATAATTTTAAAGTATTTTTTCTCTTAATTTTCTTTAATATCCCGCTGACAAATACTTTCTAACAAAATGAGTTCTTAGAATACACACGTTCCAAGGAGACTTTAAACAAGTGAGGAAATAGATAGCACGAATAATCTTGTTATTCTTGCTAGATATCTTGAAGGAGAGGCATTCTTCCTCCACATCCTTCTGTGTGGTGGAGACTGAAGAGAAGATAATATCACGTTTCTTATACTATTCTTTCATGAGAGGTGGGTTCCTAGTTTCTAAAAATGGTGAAGGAGTGTGACAGAAGCAAGAGAGCAAATTTGGTAATGTAATGACTGCAATTGGAAGTATCCCGATTCATTTATTGCATAATATTTCCCCACAGAAGTTTATGTAGATTACTTCAGTACGTGTGAAGGTTTCAACCATTTGTCTTTTACCAAAAAAAAGGAAAAAAAAAGAAAAAGAAAAAAAAGAGGAAATGAATAAATCAATATATAAACAATTTGTTATATGCTGCAAAATACAAATTTTGGTACATCACCAGTCTAGCAAAACTTATAAGCAATTAAGGCCTAATTTAG